AAACCTGTTCAGTAACACAGGTTTTTTCATTTTCAGTTTGAGGTTATTGTCAAGGCCCTTCCTCTACACAACAGAGCTGAGGCCCCCTTTCCCTAATTCCCCTTTAACACAGTTGGGGGGCATGCATCTTGCACCTCCTTTCCTCTTGCCAAGGGTTGTACAAGTCTAAGAGTCTGAGGATGGCGTCTGGCCTCTGGTCAGGAAGCCAGCAGTTGCATTGCTCTGTGATGCAGCCTGCATCCCAGCAGCCCCATTCTTCCATTCCTGTCTTTGCCAGATTGCAGCCTGATCAGAGGTCCCCCAAACTTCCCTGCTTGAACTCTGGCTGCTGCTGCTTGTAATGGATCTGGATCCACCATGGGTGGGTAACCACTGGTTAGCAGAGTTTCCTCTCTTCTCCTCTGGTATCTTGAGTCTTACCCGACATCTCAATCCAGAGGTGCCTGGGAAGAAAGGCCTGGTAATGTCCAACCACAAAATTGGCCACTGAGAGCCACTCTACTCAGGCCCCCATGGGACAGCCATGAGTCAGAATCCGTAAGACTATTCTCTAGTGCCTTTTCACTGCTGTCCTTTCCAGCTCTGATTTGTTCAAATGGGTAGTCAGGTTTTTCTCATACTCCAACAGGAATTTCTTTAAACCCAGCTTTCCCTATGAAACACAACTCCTGGAGAAAATTCCAGTCATCTCCTCTCTGTGTCACTCTGGGTATTCCACAGATGCAGAAGGGAGAATAAACCTGAATACTATTATAAGCTTAATGTCTTGACTTAAAAAAAATCCCCCAGTAAGGTAGAGACAATACCAGGTACAATCATCCCATTTCAGAAACTGGCAAACTGAGCACACTGAGTCAATGTTTGGGGGATTGTTCTAATCTGTGCTCGTCTTACACGGTACTCTGAGGAAGGTTTTTAAATATATGCATTTTGTACATATCCCCTTTAAAAAAAAATCAAAGAGGCAAGATAGAAGACAAGAGGCAGTGTGCTTTAAAAGGGCCTGAACTTTATATTCAATTCTAGGATTTGATATCTCGAAAATATTCCAGCCCCAATTTTGATAATGGCTCTCAGCCAACAATGGCTTTGGGGAGCCCTCGCGAAATAGACTGCGCTCCCTTGTCCTGGCTATCAGGGGCTTGGGCCTTTGATGTTTGTCCAGTGACACAGGTGAGAGTAAGAGATGCCCTGACAACAGTTTGTGGCTAACATGTAGTCTCTCTGCCCTTCCTTTGCAGTAACCCATGGCTGTGTACTGAATAGCATTCCCTGCTACAGCTGGACTGGACTCCATTTTAGCCTTATAAGCCAAAGTTCCTATTTTAACTGACAGCTTCCCTTTGCGGTGCCAGGCAGCCAGGCCCTCGCCCCTGCCCTTGCGATGTACGATCACTTCAAGATCACTTCTTTCTGAGCTCCACAACTTGCTCCTGGCTCCCAGGTCACTGACACAAACCACAAACAACCACCATCTTCTCAGTTTTTCTTTTGAGGTGGTGTTTTGGGTTTGTTGTGTGTTGTGTTTTTTTTAAACCACTTATATACAAACCACAAATGCAAACAAGGTTCTGCCAAATGTTCACACCTTTTGGGAGAGTTGGGAATGTAAGGAAAGGAAGCAAAAAGTAAAAGAAAGAGAGAAGCAAGCCTTCACATACATACACATGTGCACATGCACATACACACACTCTCTTTTCTAGTTGACAGTGCCAAGAGTTAGTGGTGACAGGCAGGGAGGGAGGTCAGGCTGCTGAAGCTAGTTTCTTTGGGACAATGCAAGTCACAGTGGAGGATTCTGGGAGACCTTAGACGTGGATGCAGTGCAGCTCCTTAACCACTAGGCTACCAGAGCTCCCTAGTAGACTTGGGCAATTCATTGTAAGATTTGTCTTGGAATTTGATGATCTAAAATTTAAATTAATACATGGGGGGGGAATCCACAACTTGCCTTGATTGCCATTTTGATGTTTTTATATCTGATTCTAAGGAATCCCACACCTGCAACCCACCGGCTGTTCTCAATCCTCTACCACCAACTTGTTCAGGTTGTGAAAAGAGGGTCCCTCTCTCCACTACAGTTGAACTATTTTGGAGGGTTGAGGGTTGAGGAGTTCTAAGGAGGCCTGATGGTGCAGTGGCATGGCGTTTGGATACTATCTGAAAGCCTGGCTGGCTGAGCTCACTTCAGCCACTCCATAAGCGAAAAGACCTTGAGATCTGCTTTTAATAAAGATTAAACCAAATGGACCCAGTGGCCCTATAGGACACGGGAGCACTTCCTCAAAAAGGTTTCTAATGCTGTCATCTTCATGGGAGCATGCTGCCTCAGCTTTCGTCCACCAGGCCATCTGGTGGGTTCAGTCCACCAACCTGGAGGCTGGCCCAGTGTTTTAACCACCATGCTACCAGGGCTCTGAGGCAACCCTGTGGGGCAGTTCTACATTATCACATAGTGCTGTTATGAGTTGGAATCGATTTTAGGGCAGATCATGAGAAGTATTTAAAAAATATAGGCATACCTCACTTTCTAGTGCTTTATTGATTGTGCCTCTGATGACTGCGTTTTTCTAGATGCAAAGATTGTGGCAGCCGCATTTCAGGCAATTTTATCGCTGCCGTTTCCCCCCCCGCCCCCCAGGACACGTGCTTACTTCGTGTCTCTGTGTCACGGGGGTTTTTTTGGTGATTCTCACAATCTTTCAAACTTTCTTGTAACACTGTTTTGCACACTTGAGAGACTTCAACATGAGTCAACCTAACCTTCATATGCACTGGGTAACCTTGAAGGAGAGTGGGGAATGGTGTGACTCGCTTTACGAGGATACTCATTTTATTTTTTTTTCTATAATTATATTTTATTAATTTTCATAAACATTTACAGAGATTTTGGGCTTCCACTCATTCATTGTTGCACTATTCTCTCTATCCTCCTCCCAGTTTGTTCTTGTCCAAATGCCACAGTGCTTGTCAAAGCCAGTTCTGATTAATCTTCTTTGTCAGTGTGTCCTTTGCCATTCCCTATCACTCCTCCCTGAGAGAGACTTCACCCTGAGTCATAAGGAAAAGGGGATGGCGTATTCTCTTAGCTACTTCCTGCTGAAAAGGGACGCTGTGGGTTTCAGGGTGAAGATCTTCTCTCACTACTCTAAAGGGCCCCTTTGGCAGTAGGAAACACATAGACTATTATGGAGATTGATTTTGGAATTTAGATGCACTCTTTTTTTTTTTTTCTTTCTAGATGCACTCTTATTGATTGTGCTTGGCCGTACATGTTCATATCCTTGAAGATGTATCATGGGGGTGTTGCAACCTAGAAGACACAAATTTGACTAACAAGTTATAAGTACATGAGTCCAATAATTATGGAAAAGTAAAAGAAAAGATTCTTTCATTGTTTTACAAACCCTCCCCCAGGTCCCCAGTTATATCTCTCTTTTAAACGGTTCTCTCCCTCCTCTGTTTCAGTGCAGATACTCATTTTATTGTGGGGGCCCTGGAACTGAACCCACAATGTCTCTGAGGTGTGCCTGTATTAGAGGCAGACAACCTCTGCCAGGCCTTCAGAGATTTTTCTTGTAAAGTGGAAAGACAGATCTATTCTAATTTTTTTCTATAAGAAACACTTGAAGCCAAAAGAAGTTAAAGAGTCGCTCAAGGTCCTGCTACTGATTCATGCCAGAAACCAAGCTCAGTCACCTATCGCTGGACTCTTGTTGCACCAAACCGTTCAATCTGTTCATATATGTTCCCATAGATCAAGGTCTTTTGATGTTTGGAAAAACATAAGATTGTCAGCAAGTACTCCCACTTTCCTTTCCCCCCCTTTTTGTCCCCCTACAGAAAAAGCTGAGGGGACAGGGTGGTTGAGGGTGGAACAAAGCAGAAGATTCGGCTGAGGGCTTGTGCTGGAGACAGACATCACCAGAGCATCTGGTAGCCCCGGCCTTCCCGGGCCTCTGAGCTGGGGCCCAGCCAGGCATGTGCCCCAGGTGATGCTTGCCCACAGGGAAATGTGCTCATCAGAAATCTAACAAGAGTTAAAATGCTTATTTTATTTGGTAGCTCTTCTCACTGTAGACAGGAAGAGCTGTTGGGTTTTTTGGCTTGCTTTTTTTTTGGTTTTTTTCTCCCCTCTGTCAATGAAAAGACTTTCTAATTAGAACAGTTGTTTCTGTTTTTCCTTTTTGTGTGTACTGTCAAGTCTGTACCCATAGCTGACCCTCCGGCGGGTTTTCAGAGGCAGTTAATCACACGGGAGGAGATTGCCCATCTTTTTCCTGCTCTATTTTTTTCTTTTTAATACCCTAAGTAGGCTATTTGCTTCTGGTGAAACAAAATCAGTCATTAGAAATGGTCTTGGCTTTTCTTTGCCCAGACTGGAATGGAAAGATTTTTTTTTATTTTCCTTGAAAAATACACACACATACATACATCCCCTTTAATTTTTCTGAGGCTAAGAAATTTGCTGCAGTGCAAACCATTTTTGTTGTTGTTCTCATTCATTTTTATTTTGTTTTTAATCACATGACATTTTCATGTGGCTGTTAATATGTGCTTGCTTTCATTAAAACAAGGAGCTGTAAACCAGTGTGTGGTGTGGTCTTAAAATCTCAACAGATCCCCCGGTGGTGACGGTCGATCAGTAGCCCCATTTCTAACCTGTCTTCTCCAAGAAGCTTCTGTGTCACCTCACGCTGCCCACACCCCTTGCCCTGTCTTACTTGGGATGTCTTTTTTTCTCTGGCTAATTTCATGTTTTCTTTCTCTTTCTCTCTCCCTCTCCAGCTTTTTTTAATCTTGTCTTCAGCAGCTGCACTAAGTCTAAAGGAGAAGACTGCCATTCTAGAAGAGTTAGGGTTCCATGTTGTCTCAGACCAGAAACCAACCAGTCCCCTCTGCCCTCCAACTGCGTATGTGTGCATGTGTTCACACACAAACACGTGCGCGCACACACACACACACACACACACACACGTACTCATGTGTCCTGAGTCCAGGCAAGAAGCTCTCTTCTGACTTACATGGTATTTTAAATGGAAGTGTCTTGTACTAAACCCTAACAAGGCAGGAAAGAGCCATCAGAGCTGGAGAATGGACCAAATGTAACCTCAGAGAGACAACGACAGGAGAACAACCCACCCAAGTGTAAGTGACTGGGGCAGGAGACCTCAGCTGTGGGTGTGCCAGTGCTGTTCAAAAGGTGGTATTTGAGTTCTCAGCTTTTCTTTTTAGAGAACAATTCTCCACTTCAATGAGTTGACTGTCTACAGCCACTCCCGAACATCTCCGAATAGGGGTGTGAAAGTCAAACATTTGTCTCTTTTTCCATATTCACCGCCCTCCTACCGACCCCAGCAAGGGGGACATGTGGACCCACTAGCTAATGTTCAGGTCGTGAAGTGAGAGAGACAAGAGGGGGTTCAGTTTAGTGAAAGCACAATGACGCCATTCAACCTTCCAAGGCTAGTTGGGGATCTGAGAGAAGGCTCGGCTTGGCTTGAGATTCAGAGGGAGAGCTTTGATGTTGCCGAGTCTGCCTTGGGTTCACTGATTTTCCTTGCATCAAAATACCATGTGAGTGTGCTCATTCTCAAAGCTCCCTCCCACCATCACCATTCTGCTGTCCAGTGTCTCCTGAGAAGGCCTCTTTGCATGTTTTCCAGAATCTCTGTCTGTTTTTCCTTTTCTTCGCCTTTGTTCTTTTTGCTCAAAGGTGTGACCGGTCACTGCCCCTCTGGGGGCCATCATTTGCCAGGAGAAACATGCCAGAACCAGCAATGTTCAGCTTGAGACCTTTCTAATGTCCATGTCAGTTTTCAATAAAACTCAACGAAATGCTAAAGGACTGTGTGATTGGATCTCAAATCATTGGACAATGTGAACCACTGTGGTGTGCCCCAGAGGTTTGAGGACATACCATCAAAAGCTTCCAGAATTTTCTTACCAGGGCGGGATTAGGGGGTGGAAAAAAAACTCCTCTACTTATCCTCCTCCTATTAACTTGGATTTAACTGATCAGTAAGCTAATTATCATCTAGGACGAAGTGTACTGTGAGGTCCTACAAAATGAGGTAAGTGTTAATTCCAGGAGGGAAAGAAGGAACTGTGGCACACCTTTCCTCATTGAATATTGTGCTGTGAGCATCCTGGAAAAGTATGAGCATTCTGGTTCTCTAGGACCTGAAAAGCATTCTACAGATGGCCTTTCTATCTGTTCTACCTGAATTTTGTGCCCTCGGGCCACCAGAGAGGGAGGCTCCTTGTCACTGCAAGCATTAGAATGAACAAGGTGAGGGGGGAGAGTGGTCAGTTTTCATAACTCTGGTTGTGGTCAAGGCAGAGAGCATCCTTTCCTTGGCTTCAGACCCCTAATGGCCAGGCACTGAAGGCTAGTCAAGTGGTTTGTAGCCTGTGTACAGGAGGCCTATGGTAGACTCTGAAGGAACATGAAACCAAAACCAAACCGTGGCCAGCATGTCGATTCTGACTCAGCAACCTTAGAGGACAGACTAGAACGGACTCCCATAGGGTTTCCAAGGCTGTAAATATTTCCAGATACACCCTGCCACATCTTTTACCCTTGGTGGGGCAGAACCAATGACCTTTCAGTTAGCAGCAAGGCAGTTTAACCACTGTGTCACTTGAGCAGATAATGGCCTGCCTCTGCGCATCTTGCACACTAGAGGGCAGCCAAGTGAGATACCAGCAACATCACCCAATACGCAGGCACGCACTGGGGATGTGGAAAAATACAAGCTGTGAAGCCTGACAGACTTGCTAAACCATGTGCTCTGTGGGAAAGCATTAACAGCTCTATAAAAGTGGGGTATCAGTAACTCTCTTGCAGGGTCATTGTGAAAGGTCCATGAGAGTTAAATATCTGGTAAGTTAAATACCTGGGTGTTCAAGACATAGGAATCTTTATTAAACTGAGACTTTTCTTTTTACCAAAAGTGTTCATGTGAGGTACTGCTAATCTAGGCTTCCCAACTATAGCACTACTGGCATTTGGAGCCAGATAATTCTTTGTCGTTCCCAGCTTGTCCTGCAGATGTCAGTAGCACTCACCCAGGCCCCAAAATGACCTCCAGACATTTCCCCAGTGTTCCCTGAAGGACAGAGTACCATGTTGAGAACTGCTGCTCTAGGCTAAGGGTCAGCAAGCTTTCTGCCAAGGGCCAACTAGCCAGTACTTTTCTGCTCTCTCTTGTAACTATTCAGCTGCTGTTGCAGTGTCATATTACCAGTAAACAAGGTAAGCTTGAGTTTCATTTGACTTCTATAATGGTGATGGTATTATGTGCCATTGAGTCCGAACTGACACAGCTGAGTCTCCAGCAAGTTTTCAAAGGCTGCAAATTATATACAGGAGGAGATTGCTCATCTTTCTCCCACAGAGCTGTTGATGGATTCAAACCACTTGCCTTTGGGTTGGCAGTGCAATTCCTTACCTCTAAACCATCAGATGTCTCCCTGTTACAGATTAGTAAATAAAGCCAAGTGAGTTTGTGTTTACCTTACTTCTTGGGTAATACACCCTCGGCTCTTGTAGGGTGCAGCTGGAGTGCTCCTTAGAGGCAAAGCTTTGTCTCACATACTTTGGGCATGTTATTAGGAGGGACTGTTCCATGGAAAGAGACATCATGGCTTGGAAAGTGAAAGAGAATGACCCTTCACCAGATAAACTGACACAGTGACTGCATTAATAAGCTCAAGTGTGTCAGAGATGATGAGGATGGTACAGGATAAGACAAGGTTCAGATCTGTAGTTCATAGGGTCACTATGAGTCATACTTGACTCAATGGCATCTAATAACAACTTACGACCTAAAAGGATAATTCATTGAAAAATAAGGAACTCATACAATATTATTCAAAATGGGTGACCCTGGAGGACATTATGCTGAGTGAAGTATCTCAATCACACAGGGACAAATATTGCATAGTGCCACTGTTGTAAAACAGGGCTGGCATTGGGGTTGGGAGGAGACTGAGATAGATGGGATAAATAGTGTATACTGCATTGAAACAGATGAGGGAGAAAACTTTTTAAAAGGGATATGTAATTAGGTATTCTTGTCATGACAGGAGTCCAGAATGAAGACTGCATAGTAAATTGGACCTGGGAGAAGGGATTGTAAAACAATGAAAGAATTTTTCTTTTACTTTTCAAAGAGAAGAGTGTACTGAGGAGGGAGGGGTGGGCGGGGAGAAAAGTGCAACAGTGAATGAATGGAAAGAAAAAAAAAAAAAGATTGTGCCTGTGTTCTGAGAAGCCAGCATTTATGGCTCTAACATTTGAATTTTGTATTAATTTACTATAAAGTTCATTAGTTCTCCCATGCTCTGTAATATTCTCCTTTTGATTTTTTTCCCACCATTAAAAAAAAAACCCAAACACTTCTTAGCTTGTTGTTGTTATGTGCCATCAAGTTGCCTAAGACTCATAATGACCCTATGTACAACAGCTCTGAAGCCGGCCCTGTCCTTAGCCAGTTTCACTGACTGCGACACATCTACCCCCATGGTCCCAGTAACTATATCAATCCATCTTATCCAGGGTCTTCCTCTCCTGTGCTGCCCCTCCACCATTCTGAGCATGATGTCCTTCTCCAAGGACTAGTCCCTCCTGGCCATTTGTCCAGAGTATGTGAGACAGAGCTTCAAAATCCTAGCCTCCAAGGAGAAACTTGGTTTCACCCTAAGACAGCTGTTTGTTTTCATGGCAGTCCAATATATGGCTAGAGTGCACGTGAAAGAGGGAGACATTTATTTGAAGAAAATGGCTCAAATGCTTTTAGAGACAAGGCCCAGGTCTTGTAGGTCAGACCTGAAGGTGGAAGTGTCTATGGAGCACGAATCCAGATTAAAATAAGACAGAGTCTCAGGCTGCTGACTTTGGAAGTTACCAGGTCCAAAGACTGATAGGTCCAGAGGTCAATGTTGTTGAAAAACAAGGTCACAGACTTTGGAAACTGACAACCAAAGCAAGCAAGTATGGTAGGCCACTGGTTTAAGTCTAGAGACCATAAGCCAGATCACCAGATGTAGGTCTACAAATAAAGCTCTCTAGCTTTTTAATAAAAAACTATAAACATAAATGCTGTGCACATCACAACCCTGAGGAGACGTACCCTTATTTTTTGTTAGATGTCACTGAATCAGATACAACTCATAGCAACCCTCTGAATATCTGATCTGAAACTTGCCCTATTCTGTGTCATCCTCATCTCTGCCACACTAGAGTCCAGTGTTACCAGTGGTGATGAAGGAAGAAGTTCAAGCTGCACTGAAGGCACTGACAAAAAATAAGGCCCCAGGAATGGATGGGATATCGACTGACATGTTTCAACAAACAGATGCAGCCCTGGATGCACTCATCAGGTTATACCAAGATATTTGGAAAATCACGAGCTGGCCAACAAACTGGAGCAGATCTATACTTGCCCCCACTGCCAAGAAAGGGAATGTGTACATTCTCTAACAATATAATTAATAATAAAATAATAATAACATGCCACATAATTATCTCAGTATATACTGAAAAAAACATTTGATAAATGTCAACAGATATTACATAAAATATAATCATAAAATTAATAATAAAAGTAAAATCTTGCTGAAGGTTATGCAGAAATGGCTAGAGATGTTTATCGACACAGAACTGCCAGACATTCAAGCTGGATTTTCATAGTTCAATGGTGGTTAATTTTATAAAACATAATGAATGGGAATGATTGTATAAAACACAATGTGAATGAAGGATAGTGTAAAACAATGTATATGAACTTTGTAAGCAAACCCATATAAAATAAATTAAAATTAAAAAATAAATTCAAGCTGGATTTAGAAGACGCTATGTTGTTGTTGTTATGTGCCTTCAAGTCGACTGTGACTCATAATGACCCTATGTCTAACTATCCTGAGACAGTCTCACTGATTCTAATACACCAACCTCCACTGCCCCAGGTAATGTTTCAATCCATCTCATCCAAGGTTTTCTTCTCTTGTGTTGTCCCTCCACCCTTCCAAGCATGATATCCCTTCTCCAAGGACTGATCCCTCCCCTTGCAAACTGTCTAAATTATGTCAGACCTGGCTTCAGAACCCTTGCCTCCAAGTAGCAGCCTAGTTTCACCCTCTCTAGGATGAACTTGTTTGTTCTCTTGGCAGTCGGTGGTATATTCAAGACTCTTCTGCAGCACCACAACTCAAAGGCATCGATTTTTCTTCTGTCGTCCTTAGCCATTGTCCAGCTCTCTGATGCATAGCAAGTAATTGCAAAGACCATGGCGTACTTTAGTCTCTAGACTGATATCATTGCTAATCTCCTGTCGGGACCTCTCCAGAGTACTGAAGAAGAGGCTATGGCACCTAGGACATCATTGCTGATATCAGACAGATCTTGGCTGAAAGCAAGGAGTACCAGAAAGACGTCTACTTGTGCTTTATAGATTATGCAAAAGCACTTAGTGTGGATAGTAACAAATGCTGGGTAACATTCAGAACAATGGGAATCACAAAACACTAAATTTTGCTCATGCAAAACCTATACCTAGACCAGGAAGCTGTTGTCCGAACAGAGCAAGAGAACACTGCATGGTTTAAAATCAAGAAAGGTGGCAAGCTCTGGTGGCCTAGTGGTAGGAAGGTACACTGCAAATCCAGAGGTGTACAGTTCAAATCCACCAGATGCTCTGCTGGAGAAGGAGGGACAAGCTCCTCCTATACCTAGTCAGATCCCATTTGACAGTACACACAAAAAAATTAATAAGAAAATAAAAGTATTTTAAAAAAATCAAGAAAGAGGGAGCTCTGGTGGCCTAGTGGCAAGAAGCTGCA